TGTATATAATCCGTGTAGGTCTCGGAGTCTAACTTTTGACCTAGTATATGAACGATTATAGGGTCCCATGATGTTATATTAACCCCTAAGTTTTTTATGGCATTAAGGCATTCCTGAGTGGTATCATGCATTCGTTTAATTTGTTGTAAGGATTGTTGTTGCATACTTGGGAGTCCCAACAAAATGTTTATGTGAGATGAGAAGATTAACTTTTTGTTGTCGTATCGATGATTTAAAATATCCCAACATACCAAATAATTATCGCTACTTATTTGAAGGTGTTGTATGAGCTTTTCAGCATCTCCTCTTATTTTACTTTTCAGGTGTTGCATTTTTTGACTGTTAGATAGAGATGGATTGTTGTGAACAGCTTCCGTGAATAAATCTTTGAAAGAAACCCACTGATTATAATTTCCGCTGAAGACAGGTATTTCCAATTGTGGAGTAGCATTCGATCTATGAGCTACCGACCACATCTTTGTGTTCAATGTTTTCTTGAGAGTATTAAATTTCTTCTCGTATCTATCGTACATGGCGGCGTATGTTTCATTTTCTCCGTCCATCTCGGATTCGATTTCCCAGTGAAGGCTATCGATAGCAGCCCATCGTTCGTGTAGTGTTTTTAAAGAGTCTTCAAATTCCCATTTATCAGCAATCAAATCTACGTCTATGTTTGATGTTGTTCGTATAAAGGCTTTAAAATTAGCATATTGTCTTTTTAAGAAATCATCCAATTTACTGTTTGTGCCTTGGCTTCTTTTCATTTGTTCAACCTGTTGGCTTTGCCCACTGGTTCTTGTTTCTTCATTTATTTGTTTTGACTTCACTCCTGCTGGCGTCCGGGAACGGGCACCAGCTTCCTCCCCTTCTTGAAGAATGCCTACTTGTTCTACTAGTCGCTGATACTGCTCGTTAATCATATTCTTGGTTGCCTCATACGTTTGATATATTTTTTCATACTGTTGTTCGATGAAGTAAGGATGAGTCTTACTTATTTCGGTTTGTATACGGTCATGGTTAAATTGGCATTCTTGCCAGTAGCTCTCTAAAGTACTCATCCTTCTCTTAAAATAATCAGCCGTCTTTCTATCCGCACTATCCTTTTTTATGTTGATGCTAAGTTTGACAATGTTGTCATAAATCATGGATTGAATTTCAATGAGTTCTGCCATGTTGTATGTTTGTTATGTATTATTGAAGAATAATAAGGAATTTTATTACTTGATAATCCTGTTGTCACCTTACGAAACTCAGCCTCCTGTTCTTCGACACCAAAGTTCTTGTTATGTTATAGTTCTCACACCACACACGCTCACAATAAATGTTACGCTAGTTCAAAATCTCATTCGACGGGAACACTTTTTCACGGAATTCACCGACGCGCAAGGGTCTCTCGAAGGACCAAAATGTAGGATGCGATGTGAGTTTGTTAGTTAAAGATAATGTTACTTAAAAATGTTTATTGTTAAAATATAGAGAAATTAAATTAAATGTTAATGTTATGAATGCACCCGGGTGACGCCGTTGTTGATCGTGCACTGACGAATTGTGGAAATGAAGTTAACGCGTCACGCGAATTATGCTGACAAAGGTGTTCGGTAATATATCACCGAACACATAATGTGTTTTAGCTTTCGCCGAAAAATTCAAACACTCTATGGTTATACTTGCTTTTATTACTACAATTTCACATAATCTTCGCTTTAATTAAACTACACAAATAGCTTTATCCGGTACATTTTCATAGTTCGTCCTGGTCCTGACTTCAAATTATAACTGCGTTTCTAATTCCGCTAAATCCGTGACCAAACGTCGAGCATCGCCTGCCAGGACTCGTCGCTGCCGAGCATCGTAGCCACGACGGTCGGAAGCGACAAGTCCGGTCCTATTTTTGCAACGAGTACGCGGCGCTGCTCCGCGAAAGCGGGGCAGTATGCGAGCGTGTGCTCCGCCGTGTCCTCGTTGCAGCCACTGCAGTGGTGGCACTTCGGCGTCGGCTCCCTCCGGGCGACGAGGTGCAGGTAGCGACCGAAACCGTAGGCGGGGTCCACCAGGCGGCGAGACCACGCCTTAGCACGGTACGCCGAGATTGAAGCTTCCGTATTTATGCTCAAAGCTCTAAGGAAGCTTCCCAATTAGTCGACAGAGTGCAACGTGGGCACTATCCGACTTCAGTGATGGTTTGGTGGGGTATTAGCTATGAAGGAGTGACTGAGCCATACTTTTGTGAAAAAGGTATCAAAACATCGGCACAAGTGTATCAAAATACCATTCTTAAGAAGGTAGTGAAGCCCCTTAACAACACCATGTTCAATAATCAAGAATGGTCCTTCAAGCAAGACTCGGCGCCAGGTCATAAGGCTCGATCTACGCAGTCTTGGTTGGAAACAAACGTTTCGGACTTCATCAGAGCTGAAGACTGGTCATTGTCTAGTCCCGATCTTAATCCGCTGGATTATGATTTATGGTCTGTTTTAGAGAGTACGGCTTACTCTAAACGCCATGATAATTTGGAGTCCCTAAAACAATCCGTACAATTGGCAGTGAAAAATTTTCCCATGGAAAGAGTGCGTGCTTCTATTAATAACTGGCCTCAACATTTAAAGGACTGTATTGCAGCCAATGGAGACCACTTCGAATAAACTTTTTATACTTTAAATTGTTTTATATTTATGTATTAAACTAACACACTGTAAAAGTAATAAATGTTACTTGCAATAGATTATTTTTTTATTTTTTATTGTAACAGTATTTATGGCCAGACTAAGTATACTGAGATCTTAGAACTTATATCTCAAGGTGGGTGGCACATTTACGTTGTAGATGTCTATGAACTCCAGTACCACTTAACACCAGGTGGACTGTGAGCTCGTCCACACATCTAAGCAAATAAAAAATATATAAAAAAAGTATAATTACACCGTCGATAATATTAAATTAAAAAACGGAACATGATAATTTAGTTTTAACATTATTTTATTTATTAAGGTACTATATTATAGGATATTATACCATAGCATAGTGAATTAAATAAATTATTTACGTAAAAGCTTACCTTGGTGTTAATTATATTTACTCGTAATTATTGCAAAATTAAAATTCACAAGGGAATCGACAGCCTCTTTCATTAACATACATAGGATTGACATACCGACTATGTCTGTTTTTTTACTATTTTGATTTCTAGTAAATTCTTACATTCGAATACGAGCGATCCTCCTGTTTGTTGGATAAGCTAAGAGCTAAAACACTGTCTACAAAGAACTGTTTTCAAACTTAAATTAAAATAGTAACTACTACTTTTGCGTTTACTTCTAGTTCTTCTACTTCTTCTAGAAGCTATATTATATATTTCTTATGAGTATATTTCTATAGCAAAATGCCAATCAGCACTAGAAGTAAACGCAATCAAGGTTCAGGATAGCAGGGGTGATACCTGCGCTGGTAGCAGATGATATGATACGGATCTATCAGATCCAATAACCGTTCCATTAGACGCCTATAGCTCTAACACTAGGAGGAGGATCAGGTAACCGTACTCGTCGAACTTGGCAAAGAGTTCGACGTGCAACCTAACCTAAGCATCAGCCCGCTGAGTTTCTCGCCGGATCTTCTCAGCCAGTCGCGATTCCGATCCGGTGGTAGATTCATTCGCGAAGCAGTTACTCGAGTTGTTAGGTCTCCTTTGGAGGCGCTCGAGTAGCTCTTAGCAAATCCCACCGCTCCTGGCTGAGCCCTTGCTCGCCCAACTGTCTTGATAAATCTGGAATGGCTTCCGGGCCACCGGTAATCTCTCAAACATAAAAAAATGCTTTTTATTATTTATTTTTTATTGCTTAGATGGGTGGAACAGCTCACATCCCACCTGGTGTTATGTGGTTACTGGAGCCCATAGACAACATGACAACGAAAATGCGCCACCCACCTTGAAATATAAGTTCTAAGGTCCAGTACATATAGTTAAAACGGCTGCCCCGCCCTTAAAACCGAAACCCACTACTACTTCACGGCAGAAATAAGCAGGATGGTGGTACCTACCCGTGCGGACTCACAAGAGGTCCTACCACCAGTAATAAATATATCAGTAATAATATAGTAGCTTAGCATTAAAAAGGAGAGTACTGGATCATAATAATGTCGGGTAAAATAGAAACATCTCCGGAGCGGATACTCATGTTACAACACCCCAACATATCAAAGCAAAATATAAATTTGTATACCAAATAGTTTTAGTTCTGGTAGCGCAGTCTTAGAAGGCTGACCTCGCCCCCATGCGAGATGAATAGCTAGGGAGAAAGGGAGAGAGGACCGTAGTCTTATTGCGTGGGTATCATCCTATCCATCCTATATTTCGGCGATGAAGCAGTAATTTGTTTAGTTGAACAGCAGCTGAAAAGCCGCTATAAGACACGATGGACACTTCCGGGCAACCGCATTCATGTTGTTATGACCACGGGCTCCTTGTCTGCGCTCTGCCCCATGGTGGATCTTCCAAAAAAATGTTATTTCTACATTAATTGTTATAATACATGTCAGCGAATATGACCTTGTATAAATTGTAAATGGCAATTTGTAATTAAAATAATAGTTCACACAGCCTTTCAGTTACACTTAAATTATAAATGAAATTCGAAGTTATAAGTTAACCTTAAAACGCAAGAAGTCAATACGTCTTTAGCGTTTTATTCGTAACGGTTGTTTGTTATTAAAGTTGTTTGGGTAAACAAATAAAAAACACATCAGTATATCAGGTAAGGCATATTGCGGAAGATTGGAGCATTACTGTCATTTATATTGGCTAATATTCACTGATTAAGTAAGAGGTGTCCACGTATTTCAGTGAAATTTAAAATTGCGAATTTCTTTCATGCCGATCTCCTATCTGATTTATTTAGAGTACATGTGCTTAATTTTATTAGACGCGTCATGGCGAGTGATGTCCGGTTTCTTATACAAGTACACGAATGCCAATAAGTTCGGCGGCAATGGCAGGGTGGGAGGAAATTCTCTTCTTTCGAATAGGTGTGAGTCATGGGACCCAGGGGACCAGCTGGAGGGTACCCCAGGGAACACTCGCTCCGTACGTATTGCGGGCATTAGTGGTGGCTGGGGTTTGTGCATAGGTCTGGCCATTTAATCAAGAGCGAGAAAAAATGCCTTGCATCATACCTCAATACCAGAATAAAAATTTCTAGAACTGGTACTCATAATTTCATTCTAGACGCATCATGAAGGTGCTGGACAATGTAAACCACGCTGTGAAGGTGACTATGAATTGTTGCCGATTATACGGCCTCTTCGTTTCTGATGACCTCACTAAAAGACAATTGATCATAATGCGAGCGTTTTCTTTGATGTTGTATCTTTTTTTCGTTGGTAAGTATTTTGATAATTAAAAAAAGGAGGAAAATAACAGTATTTTAGACATCGTGGTCTAAATGATAAGATGTCCGGTGCATTCGTGTCGAGCGATGCAACGGTGTTCGAATCCCGCCGGCAGGTACCAATTTTTTCAATGTAATACGTACTTAACAAATGTTCACGATTAACTTCCACGGTGAAGGAGTAACATCGTGTAATCAATATCAAACCCGCAAAATTATAGTTTTTTTTTTTTTTTTTTTTTTTTTATTGCCCTTGTAGGCAGACGAGCATACGGCCCACCTGATGGTGAGTGGTTACCGTCGCCCATGGACTTCAGCAATGCCAGGGGCAGAGCCAAGCCGCTGCCTACTAGTTTGCGTAATTACTGATGGTAGGACGTCTTGTGAGTCCGCACGGGTAGGTACCACCACCCTGCCTATTTCTGCCGTGAAGCAGTAATGCGCTTTACGTTGTAGATGTCTATAGGCCCCGGTGACCACTCAACACCAGGTGGACCGTGGCTCGTCGACCAATCTAAGCAATAAAAAAAATACAAAAAAGTCCCTGCCGCCTAGGAAAATAGTCTATTGCCAAAACATAAACACATATGGGACTGATAAATAGAAAATCCGCGTTGCGCATATCTCTGAGATCACCGAATCAATTTGAACATGAATTTCAACCAAATAATAACGATCAAATAAAATGTAATCAATTTGCGTACTTTTTTGTAAACATAGCTACTTCTAATAGAACATGCCAGTATAAAAAAAAACAGTAACAGATTTATTTGGTAAGCAAAAGATTTCTGTGACTTTTCTGGCCGAATTGAATATCAATCAAGTTTTCTTCAAATATTATTTACTAGCTGACCCGGCAGACTTCGTAGTGCCTCAACCGATAAATAAAAGACCTAAACTTTTGTATAAAATAAACTTCAAACAAACAAAAGGAATCGGTCCGACCGAGGACACATCAAAGAAAAAACAAAATTGTTATTTTGATTTAATTCCGAGCATTTTCATATTTATCTACCTTTTAAACCTTCTCTGGACTTCCACAAATAATTCAAGACCAAAATTAGCCAAATCGGTTCAGCCGTTCTCGAGTTTTAGCGAGACTAACGAACAGCAATTCATTTTTATATATAGAGAAGAAGAAGATAACCAAACTTGAGTAATACATGTTTTTCTGATGACGATATCGTATACATACCGCCATGGATCTTGCCCTTTACTGACCCGGACGACGGTGTGCTGCACAAGCGTACGTACACTTTCAGCTATTGTTAATAACACTCAAATTTTTCACAGGGTTTTTCATCACTACCCAAAGTGCGCTTATCATAACAATGTGGGGTGATTTAAATCTAATGACCAACGTGGGACTCGTGCTTGGAACGCACCTTACACTGTCAGCAAAAGTATTTACATTACACTACAAAGAGAAAGAGATCACAAACGTTATTTACAAAAACGAAGTCAGATTAAGGGCTNAGATATTTACGTATATTCATGTTTCATTTTATGTACGCACTGAAATACTGTTATATTGTTTTCCTGCGAGTTAAAGTGCTGAGTAAGAACGAGATAGATATATGTTTATGTATGTGCCTTCAAAATGGGTGCTATTTATATAAGCAATTGTACGTATAGAACAATATGTCGTGTCCCTACTATATAGGTCTATGTTCGTTTCTAATTCAATACTTAACATACAAGACTCACAGTGTTTTCGCCGATTATCACACTAAGATGAACGCGAAAAATGACATTACAAGTGGCTAAACAAACGTTTGGTGATGGACCTCTTATTATTTGTAATTGTGACCCCTTTAAAGCGACATAGACAGTGAATTATACAAGAATGTTCAAAGCACACAGCCCCATGTAAACAATTGAGTTAACAAGTTTTTTTTGGCCGGTAACGAGACCTCAAAGCCAATGTTTTCTTTTCATATTCTGTTATACTAATATGAAAAATTATATGAAGCGAAATAAGGTGAAGTTGATTAATTTGAGACTTAAATCAATTGGGATGAGATGGAATGAAATAAAGTCTCAGTAAAATGGTAGTTATTTAATGATACTTTCGTTTAGTTAGTTAGGCTTAGTTTCTTTTTCCACATTTGTGCACTTTCACAGATGCTGAACAGTTGATAAACAGCCCTTATTACAGATTGAAACCTGAAGAAACACTGCATTAACAAAATGAAACAAGTCAAACAACTTCGTTTCTCGCGTTCCCGCCAAAAAGTCCCGTGCTACGAATATGTTTTGATAACAATTAAGTTTTTTATTGCTTAGATGGGTGGACGAGCTCACAGCCCATCTGGTGTTAAGTGGTTACTGGAGCCCATAGACATCTACAATGTAAATGCCGCCATCCACCTAATAATTCTTAAGGTCTCAGTATAGTTACAACGGCTGCCCCACCCTTCAAACCNGGTGGAGCCCGAAGCTCTTAGGGGGCCGGGTTACGGACGAGACCCCGGTCCCGACCCCCTGCTCGGCGGCGGCGGATTTCTGCGTAGTGAGGAGAGCTTTGCCTCACTCGCCCCGCCGCCTCCTTCTGCGAGATGGTGCACTCGCAGAAGTCGAGCATAGCCTTCCAGGACTCGTCACCGCCAAGCATCGACGCCACGATGCCAGGCAGCGACAAGTCCGGTCCTATCTTTGCGACCAGGACACGGCGCTGCACCTCCCAAGCGGGGCAGACAGCGAGCGTATGCTCCGCCGTGTCCAGGTCGTGTCCACAATGGTGGCACCTCATCGTCAGCTCAGCTCCTATCCGGTGCAGATACTTTCCGAAGCCGTGCCCAGTCAGCACCTGCACCAGACGAAGGTGAGGCGTCCTCGGCCACGATTCACCCAGTCATCAAAGACTGGGTAAACCGCCTCGACGGTCCGTAGATCCCACGTGGGGTTGGCCAACCGCCTCGACCACGATTCGAGCACGGACCGCCGAGAATGGGCCTTCCGCGCCCGCAGCTCACTTTTGGAGGGACGCACCACGCCCAGAGCATGAAGCTCACTGCGCCACCGATAGTCGGCAGCGAGCGACTCCGCCTCCAGCTCCCATGGCGGCGTCCCCGCCAACACACACGCCGCCTCGAAGGAGACGGTGCGATATCCACGGATGACCCTGATAGCAACGGTGCGCTGCGGCCGGCGCAGGAACCGAGCCATAGCGGCCCGGTTGCGTGGCTTAGCCCATACAGGCGCACCGTACAGGGCCATTGATCGCACCACCCCCGCGTAGAGGCGGCGCACAGCCTGATCCGGCCCCCCGATATGCGGGAGCAGTCGGCTCAAAGAACCGGCTGTCCTCATCAATCGGGGGACCAGCTCCGCAAAGTGAGCACGAAAAGCCCACCGGCTGTCCAACACGAGGCCGAAGTACCTCAACTGCACCCCGACCCCTATTCGGACGCCTCCAACCAAGATGTGGGCGTCGACAGGTGGCGCTCTCCGTGGCCCGTGAAACCACAAGGCCTCGGATTTACTGAGCGCCACGTCGAGGCCCAGTCTCCTTATCGTCCCGACAACGAGGGCCACTCCCGCTGAGGCGAGACGGGCAGACTCTCTATAATCATCCCCCCGGGCCACGACCAACGTGTCGTCCGCGTAACAAATAACGCGGAGGCTTGGGAGGAGGGCACCCCTCAGCACCCAGTCGTACCCGATGTTTCACAAGAGGGGTCCGAGAACCGACCCCTGCGGAACACCCCGCACGACCGGAAAACGGTGAAGGGTCCCACCGTACCCGGTACATTCGACCGACCTGGCCTCCAAATAGGAGCCAACCAGCCGGCGGAGGTAGAGGGGCACTCCATGCCTCTCCAGTGGCCCCCCATCACGGACCAGGGCAGGGTGTTAAATGCGTTGGCGACGTCAAGAGACACCGCCAGCGCTACCCCAACCCGTGAGACAGCCTCGTCCGAGAGGGCCCGCACGCGAAGTATTGCATCCACGGTCGAACGGCCCTCCCGGAAGCCGAACTGCTCCGCCGACACGTTTTTGTGCTAGCATATCTTTTAGTCGTTTATATTTAACTTCGTAGGGCTATTTATATTATTTTTCCGAGAATGAAGTATGGGTTCGTTTTGTTGAGGACTTCCATCATTTTTGACGCCAACTTAGCTTTGCTCTTCGAATGACTCGGATATTGGACGTCAGTCAAAACCTCGACTTCAACAATCCCAATACTCGTGAAAGATTGCCAAGGTACTTCTTGTAGTTGCGGCACCATGACAAAGGGATCCTTCTTCGCAGTAAACGCCTGTGTCTTCAATGAGTTAGACTGAACTAAAAATTAACCAACATTCGAAGACCCACATCGAAGTTTTCTCCATTTCAAACAAAAGTTTTTATTGTATTTCCTGCACCTCGCTCCGTGAGAAACACTCTTAATTATTCATGTACTCCCTTTTTTCTAATTTGCTTTTAGGTATCCATGCGACACTACGAAATCACCTGCACATGAAATCATTCTCGCTCATCAGGTCAGTACTCCCCTTGAACATTTCTAATTGATTTTTTACAAGTAAGAAGCTTTTTCAGGATTCGTAAAGAATACAATTCATTTCTTACATATTGCATTGATAATTAAAAGTTCACGGCAAATAACAGCTGAGGAGCTACAGGTACAGGACGACATCTGAGCCCGGGTGAGGGGGGTTACCAAAACTCTAAGTATTTCTGCCATTAAACGGTATTGCATTTCGGTTTGAAGGGCTGCCCGTAAAAACTGAGATTTTAGAAACGAACTCGTGTTTCAAGGTGGGTGGCGGCATTTACGTTAGAATTGTCTATGCTCCGACAACCACTTATCACCAGGTGGGCCGTGAACTTGTCCACCTACCTACCTAAGCAATAAAAATACTTAATGTAACAATACATCACATCTGTTATTTATCAAGGGTATAGCGGTTATTTTGACAGCAACTTTGGAAATAGCCATTGTCTTATTAATGACGTCGATAGTCGCTGTTTGTCGCTGCAGACTGAAGTTGGTGGGATTAAGCTTTGAAACGATCTGTGATGATTTACCGAGTAATATCATGGTATGTATGTATGTATGTATAATTATTACTTGTGTAGTTTCGCCGACGTGAAATAATACCACGAACTACAATCTTAATACTTAATTATAAAAATAACATACAAAAATACACAAGTTAATAGCGAAGCAGCCAGCGAAGGTCTAACCCGAACTCATCCGAACAAAAGCACTGGCGCGGCGAGTACCGTCGAAAATTCTAGCCCGATGCGCAGGGCCGCACTCAGCGCAGGGCCGCACTCTGCGCAGGGCCGCACTCAGCGCAGAGCCATCGTACTCAGTGCAGGGCCGCACTCAGCGCAGGGCCGCACTCAGCGCAGGGCCGCACTCAGCGCAGAGCCGTCGTACTCAGCGCAGNCTCAGGGCCGCACTCAGCGTAGGGCCGCACTCAGCGCAGGGCCGCACTCAGCGCAGAGCCGTCGTACTCAGCGCAGGGCCACACTCAGCGCAGGGCCACACACAGCACAGGGCCACACTCAGCGCAGGGCCGCACTCGGTGCAAGGCTGCACTCGGGCTCGCCGTTCACCACACTTGCACATATTCGGAATGAGCTAGGTATTATCGGTGCTGGCAGCATAATACTGTTACGCACTGGGATTCGGGATAAATAAACAGAACGATGTGAGTTAAAAATTGTTTGTAATATTTTACTATGTTTAAATTAGAAAAATAATTTCTCTACCTTACTAGTTGTAGGGGTATTGTGAGCCGGTAGGTTCCACCTGCCTATATCTGACGTGAAGTGGTAGTGGAACTCATTAGTTTGCGGGTTGTATACAACCGTTGTATACAACACAAACTTCGATCTCATGTCGCAAGGTGGGTGACGTGTCCACCAGAAAGACTGCGACTTCGAACCTAAATGTATACAAGTTGGGTTATAAAAAAAATCCTAAGAATTTAGTTCGACGTATACAGAATGGTCATTTTCAGGCAAACATACATATTTCAAAATGAAAACTTTACTATTTTTTAATTTTAGAACTTTTTTAGTCCTGTTTTTTTTTATTACCCATGATGGAAAGTGGTTACCGTCGCCCATGGTCTTCAGCGATGCCAGGGCAGAGCGAAGCCCCTGCCTACATTAGTGTACAAGTGGTATTGTAAATGCCCGAATATTTCAGAATAAACTCACAGCGGATGAACAGGTAATCGTAGCAAAACGCGTCCGCGAGAACGTTATCGAACACCAGGCCGTATTGGAATGTATTAATGACATACAGGATTGTTTTTCGTCTGCAATGCTAGTTCATATTGCGATTTCAACGATGATCATCTGTGCAACGGCGTACCAGTTGGCTGTGGTGAGCTCTAATGACTCTTAATACGATGGAATAAGTCGGCCGTATCCATGTGGTTTATTATTATTGATATATGATTTGACGAACGACTTTTACTGTAGGTATACCCTAAAGCGGCCACCTACCAGATGGATTGACGACCTGGTGAATAAAAAAAATAATAAAACGGTGGGTCACGTTGGATGCAGGTGACAACGGACCGGCCGCACTAGACATCAGTTGGAAAGACCTATGTTCAGCTGTGGATAGTAGACAGGCTGAGATGATGATGATGATACCGCAAAGCAACGCGAGCTCTTTATTTAAAACAAATAATTTCACTACCAAAGTTTCCCAATTATAAAAGTCCGTAAATGATACATGTTTACTCCTACGATACACTATTCCAAGTCTGTGGAAGAGTTGAGCTACTAGGGGCTACTACCAAAGGATTCCTGAAACGAACTATTAATATCTACAGATAGTCTATATGGGTACATTGGAAATGAACACATTTTTTCTTATCTCTGGTCGAAACATATTAGTATCCATTGGATGTGACGGTCGTCATTTAAAATATCCCACAGGAAAAATCATTGGACCTTACACAGCGAATGACTATGGCGTCCTTTCTTGGCGGAATGTCTACTGAGATCTTCTTGTTCTGCTACCAAGGGGGACACCTGTCGATCGACGTATGTGTAATTTGACTGTTTTAAATATTTGTTACAATATATATAAAAAATATTACGACCTTAAGAGGCTCGATAAATAAGGCCAACATTTGCTTGACACTTCGATAGAATTCTTTGTGTCAAGATATTTACCAAGGGAGGCNCAGCTCTAACACTAGGAGCAGGCTTGGGGACCCCGGTAACCGTACTCGTCGAACTCGACAAAGAGGTCGACGTGCAACCTAACCCATGCAGCGGCCCGCTGAGTTTCTCGCCGGATCTTCTCAACAGGTCGCGATTCCGATCCCATAGTAGATTCATTCGCGAAGCAATTGCTCTTGAGTTGTTAGGTCTCCTTCGGAGGCGCTCGGACTGTTGTTAGCAATTCCCACCCCTTCTGGCTGAGCCTTTGCTCGCCCACCTGTCCTGGTGAAACTGGAAAGGCCACCGGGCCACCAGTAATCATTCAATCTTAAAAAAAATCTTCAAACCGAAACCTTCAGCATAGTTACAATACAAGTTGAAATAATTGTTTTGAATTTGATTAGCTAATTACAAATTTCCTTTTTTTTTAAAGAATGAATCGAGAAACGACTTTGTTCATGAGATTGTTTATACCGTTTGGAATGGGTACCGTCACCGCTTGGCTCCTATGCACACCAAAAGGAGAACTGTACACACCTGCTTGGTAATGTTCATTTATATGGAAATAAAATTTTTAAAACCATTCCGTCCGTTCGATGGATGTGAGATTCCGCCCTAAACGATCTACTGCAATTGCTTTCTCATCATCCGCCTCGTTATAATAAATTCTTCAACACTTCCATAAATTATTAAAAACACTAGATTCTTGTCTGACATAGCTTTACACCTGGACATGCTACCACTGAATTTCTCGCCGCATCTCCTCAGCGGGTCGCGATTCCGATCCGGTGGTAGAGTCATTCGCGAAGCTGCTGCTCTTGAATTGTTAGGTGTCCTTCAGAGGCGCCCGGGTAGCTGTTAGCAAATCCCACCCCTCCTGGCTGAGCCCTTGCTCGCCCGTCTGTCCTGGTAAAACTGGAAAGGCCTCCGGGCCACTAGGAATCCTTCAATTATAAAAAATAGTCCCGGACATATTGTGCGCAGAAAACATGAATATCGATAAATATTGAAAAACAATATTTATTTTGTGCGTACGTTTTTGTGCTTTTTTTTTACAGGAGATAATCGCCGGATCCCCACCCGCACGGTGGGTGGGGTATGTGGGAGTTGAACCTCACTAAAAACTCCTGCCGCTCACAGCCGGCGCCCTACCCCGGACCGGTGGGAACCCAGTCGGAGCTATTGAGACGGCGGGACAGGGTTTACGCAGAGCATATTACATCCATCCCGCCGTCCCCCAGACGCCGGACCGGCGGCCGCCAGCGACACGACCGCCGGTTCCCTCGGTCGACGGGCCAAGAGCCCGCATTGATGGCGCCGCGCTACACCTTCCCCCGGAGCGGTCGGGGGAACGCGGCTTACCACGCCGCCCCACGCCTAGGCTCCTTCCCGCACAAAACGGGTGGAGCCCGAAGCTCTTAGGGGGCCGGGTTACGGACGAGACCCCGGTCCCGACCCCCTGCTCGGCGGCGGCGGATTTCTGCGTAGTGAGGAGAGCTTTGNTTAATATCTACAGATAGTCTATATGGGTACATTGGAAATGAACACATTTTTTCTTATCTCTGGTCGAAACATATTAGTATCCATTGGATGTGACGGTCGTCATTTAAAATATCCCACAGGAAAAATCATTGGACCTTACACAGCGAATGACTATGGCGTCCTTTCTTGGCGGAATGTCTACTGAGATCTTCTTGTTCTGCTACCAAGGGGGACACCTGTCGATCGACGTATGTGTAATTTGACTGTTTTAAATATTTGTTACAATATATATAAAAAATATTACGACCTTAAGAGGCTCGATAAATAAGGCCAACATTTGCTTGACACTTCGATAGAATTCTTTGTGTCAAGATATTTACCAAGGGAGGCGTCCGGGCAAGCACACACGCCGCCTCGATGAATTTTGTGCAGTATCCTGAGAGAAATAGCTCACTGAATTTTTCGCCGGATCTTGTCAGTGGATCGCGATTTCATTCCGGTGGTAGATTCAGCTAAGAGCTGCTCTTGCTAGGTCTAGGAGCTTGCCTAGGCGTCTGGGACAGCTTAGTTTCTTGGGCAGTTAGCATAACCTCACACTGTGCATTTGGGATTAGCAGGCGCACGGCGTATGTCGGATTTGACGATCTTGTGAGACAGGGCGCGGCACCATACCGGTGTCCCATGCTCCGCACAATCCCCACGTAGAGATAGCGCACCCTCTTGTCAGGCTTTCCGACCTTAGTCAAGAGCCAGCTCATGAGAGGCGCTACGGGAACAGCGCAGAAACTATTTCCCGCAACTGTCGAAGTTGGCGTTGCTCGGTCTCGCGGGGCGCCAACGGCGGCAATTTCTTGATCGTTTTATACGGTCGCCCTCAGGAATCTTGGTCGAATGCCTCCAGAAGTATCTGCTCTGAGATTAGACCTCGCTGATGACCAGACTCAGCACCTCCTGCTTTTGACGGCAATCATGTTTTCAACCCTTTCTGCAAATTTCTGGATACCCACGTTTCTTCTAAATCTTTACAATACGCCCGTAGAACCTACGTACTCACATAAAAAAAAAACAGATTTATGTCAATGTCAAAAGATGACACTTTTTTTTGTTTTTAAACAAACAACGTATTTTTTGGATACCCACATTAAAAATTTTCAAGAAACTAGTGAGTAATACACCTAGACAGTATCTAGAAATTGTACAACGCCCATGAACCGTGCGAATTCTAACGTGTCACAATGTACGAACATTCTTTTCGAAATGTTCCGTGAAGAGAACTTAAATTACATCATCAGCGAAATTCTTGTCCAAAATAACTTTCAACTAATGTCATGTTCCGGTGATTAGGTGAACAGTCTTATTAAGTTTTGCGTTATGCTAGTTTGCTGAAGCACTAATGATTTTGTTGACTCGTTTTAAGTTGTTATTTACACTAATAATAAGGGAAATATTATTTACGTCCATTACAGAGTATGGAGGTGGCAACAGCAGTGTATAGTTGTCCTTGGTACACGTTCCCCACATCGCTCAAACGGTCACTGCTGGTGATCATGATACGCGCCCAGCAGCCGGCTTTACTCACAGCTGGAGGCTTCGCGCCCCTTTTGCTAGATACTTTTGTTTCGGTAAGTTAAATTCCAATCTCGTTAGTGTTTTTGTGCAAGATGACGAATAACTGCCTCATTTTTTGTATTCCAATGAAATGTCTTTAATCTGCATACCCTGACAGATGAGCAAGTCTCGACTCTCTCGACTACGACAATTGTCAGTAAAGAACGCAAGATATATTTTTTTCTACCTATGCTGATAGCCTTGAGAGGCTATTTCAGGTTCACCCTAACGTGTAGGTGAGCTCACGGGGCTCAAATCGGAGTGGTGCTAACACTGGCCCTAGCCAGAGCAGTGCTTCGCAGAATCTACCACCCGGATCGGAAACGCGACCCACTGAGAAGATACGGCGAGAAACGAGGCCAGCCCACTGAGGCTGTGTCTATGAGTTAATTCGCTCGTCGAGCCCTAAGTCGCAAGCGACGGGTTCGACGAGGACGGTGACCGGTGCTTGTTGTACCTTAAAGCACCGTTAATGGATCGGGAGGATCCGTAATGACGTGTTTTGGGCGACGTCGACGGTTTACCATTCGGTCTACAGGATCGGGTATGTAGTTTCCAGCGGCCACGACAAGAGGGTTCTCATGTCGTGCCGCCTTCTCAAAGTGCGCATGATACATAAAATTGTATTTGCAATATATAATATGAAGGTGGACAGTAATATAAATAAGTACAAATACAGACTTCAACCGTGAACACGCTATATAAAATGAAGGCATTCATGAAACGCCCGGGCGAATTACAAATAAGTAATAAAAAAATGAATTAACCCAATTGACTGATACTTTTTAATAGCTTATAAAAGTTCAATAAAGAACCGAGCCAACCAAAGCCCACTGAGTTTCTCGCCGGATCTTCTCAGTGGGTCGCGTTTCCGACCCGGTGGTAAATTCTGCCAAGCACTGCTTTTGCTAGGGCCAGTGTTAACAACACTCCCGGTTTGAGCCCCGTGAGCTCACCTACACGTCAAGGAAAAGTTGAAATAGCCTCTCAAAGCTATCAGCATAGGGAAGAAAAAAAACAAAAAAAAATGTTCAGTAATAAGGAAGTCATGAGCAATTTCATTTCATGATAGGCAAAGGGTAAATGTATGTATGTATGTATGTATATGTGACTGTAATTATGTATATATAAATTTTTTTGTGTATGTATTCGTAACTTAATATAAATTTCATTGCACCTACCACTATTTACTCTGCACTACCTTTGGTTGACTGGTAGAGAATGCCTTAGGCATTAAGTCCGCCAATGTAAATTTAATAAAATAAATAAGTAAATGAGAATAATGACGTCATTATTCAATGCTACCATCAAAATTAGACCAACACTCGCTTACCGCTTGTAGTCTGTGCCCCCATCTTATTTATATAAAATACATACATACGTTCCAGTGGTTGGACTATTTTAATGCCTCACCGCTTGTTTTCGCTAAAGCCAGATAGATAATTGAATCTCATTTATTTTTCAGATAATGAAGGCATCGTATAGCTTCTTCACCGTTCTGCAAAACGCCTCAGAATAAGCTAAGCTCGGACTATTCCCCACATGCCTTGCCCGAATGCTCGGTGCATTAAATCTGGGGCGCATATTGTACGACCTTGTCGGTCCTAAGTCTTTGGACTTAAAGCACTCTGCACATATACTTTGTAATACATTCTACCAATTAGAAAACTTATCGACACGATTACCCGCGCTACTCTATATCAGATAAATAAAATTCTTTGGGGTATAAGACAAAGGGGAAGGTCTTCCCTTTCCCACCGAGCGGGTTAAATTGCTCGGCAGACCGACGGTCCAAATGTTGTTCGGAGCTTATATGAAAAAATATGTGCAAGCTTACCTTGAAAATGTAAGCGAGATTCAGACATCTGTCAAATATATTTTTTTTTTTTTTTATTGCATAGATAAGTGGACGAGCTCACAGCCCACCTGGTGTTAAGTGATTATTGGAGCCCATAGACATCTACAACGTAAATGCCGCCACCCACCTTGAGATATGAGTTCTAAAGTCTCAGTATAGTTACAACGGCTGCCCCACCCTTCAAACCGAAACGCATTACTGCTTCACGGCAGAAATAGGCAGGGTGGTGGTACCCACCCGCGCGGACTCACTACATTAGGGGTGGCCAAGCAGTAGATCGCGATCGACCGATCGATCGTGGCTATTAGTCCAGTCGATCGTGACAAGACAAATATAAGTATATAGAACAGACTGCACAACGTCATCACCAATCATCATCATTCACGCATTCATCTTCATCTTGTATCATTTGTTAATGACCATTACGTCACATTATTCATCCTCTCTTCTACACAATCGTTCTCTTTTGTTATATAATTTCAGGTTTATTTTACTCTTTTTAATAAAAGAAAATATACTGCCAACTTATTTGTATACCTACTGAACTACATAGCTTCATTAAATTTCGAGAAATGTCATTGGTAGATCGCAGTGTTTCGTTAGTAAACAGTAGACCTTGGTTCTAATCAAGTTGGCCACCCCTGCACTAGAGGGTCTTACTACTAGTAATTATAATTTTGCGGATTTGATTTTTATTACACGATGTTATTCCTTCACCGTAGCAGAAAGGTAGCAAAAAGGCATAGGTAGAAAAAGAAACCTGTTAATTAACTCTAGAATAAAGAAATACATTTTAATTACACGAACTCATTTTATTATTCTATAATTGCCATGAAGTTATTTTAATATATGTAATTAGACAGCGTATTTTAATATAAAACTAGAGGTCCCGCAGTAGTCGAAATTCGCCTATAATTAATTGGAATTATAAGTTTGTACACTATTATGATTGTATTTTATACTTGTATAATCACAAATTTCGCCAAGACTACACTATAAAAAATAATAATAAAGACAAACAATATTTAATCTATTCTCAATTTGACAACAGACGCCAAGAACAAAAGTTTAACAATAAATAGTATGCATGCATGTGTGCGTCAAATATATGGTATGCAGTGTGTGTAATGTTTTCTTTATTGATTTCATGTATCTTTTATGCATTATTTAAAAAAAATATTAGCATTGTGCAGTTCTTCTCTATATTGTCTATAAGTGTGAAATATTTCATACTCCACCGTCCGCGCAATTTTCGTAAAAAGGGATACAAAGTTTTTGCTTCACGTATTAATATATAGATATATTTTAAGGGACATCATTGATTCAGAACCTTTCAAATCATGTTAGTGTTAGCGTTATAAGAATCTCTGTCATCGTTTCTTATAACAAGGATACGTAATCCAGTGAGTAATTTGCATTTTCTTGTTGACAACGATTTTCGGTTCTAATTTTTGTTACGCTCCGTATATCCGCCAACAGATGTCGCTACAATATTTTTAAACGTAATTTGTTTAAAGTAATTTTAAAAGTAACTACACAGATAGAACCTAAAAATTACGTGGCATCTATTTCTTTTGTTCCACTTGCTGGAGAAGAGTAAACAATGAGTACGAGGCTTTGATTATCTGTAAATAGAAACAATCACCGGAATTGGATTCGTTAAGAAAATCTTGTTGATCGTTAGGCCGGTAAGTCGTCGTGGCCTAATATTATTTTTAATTTCCTTTTGACTATTTCATTTTCTTTTCAGCTCCAATAATGGTTCAAATAGATCCTTTGCTGAAAAACTAAGCTATCGAGCTTTTGAATTCTTACGAGTATATTTGACCACCACGCCTGTGTCTGATGTTAATCTAATTCAAACATAAAAATCTTCATTAACCGGTCTAAATGAAATAATCTAAAATTTTGACTGAAAAGAAAACCAACTTCAATAAAATGAGACCATATGAGAAGTACCGGTTCTCAAATCTAAAAAAAGAATCGTCAAAATTGATTAATCCAAAAAAAGTTAGGAATAAAAAAATTGCGAATTTATAATTTTCTCCTTTGTTAAATTCGGTTAACAATAATAATTGTGCTGCTAGTCATTATGGTGCTAATGATGATGATTGTCAGTCTCGTCGTCAACTTACAGCCATGAAAGAAGCCAATGACAAAGTAGTGAAACCTCCAGCGGTAATCTTGGCTACCCTTCGGGACCTCACCATCACGATTAACAAGGCCCTTCTGAACTTTACTGAGCCCAAATACCAAGGGCTGATATAAGCTGATCCTGCTATCTCGGAGCTCTAGAAATATTCAATATATCTATTTAAAATTAACTTCTTACTGGTGGTAGGACCTCTTGTGAGTCCGCGCGGGTAGGTACCACCGTCTTGCCTATTTCTGCCGTAATGCGTTTAGGTCTGAAGGATGGGGCAGCTATTGTAACTATACTGAGACCTTAGAACTTATATCTCAAGGTGGGTGGCGCATTTACGTTGTAGATGTCTATAGGCTCCAGTAACACCAGGTGGGCTGTGAGCTCGTCCACCCATATAAGCAAAAAAAACTTTTCATCTATAGTTAAGAGTTTTATTCCACAAGGATTGGTTACAACTCATTTGGCAGCAGCGATGAAGATGGCCGTGAGCATCTGTGACTGACTACTCTCCGTCAAGTGGACCGTGCTCTTTTGCATTCACATTGACATTCATTTCATTCACATTCTGGGTTTTCTCTTTGATATAAATATTACCATTGCCAATGGGCATAATAATGTCAATGTCAGTCATATGTCTGTAACATGTTTGCAATAATGATTGCTGTGTTTTTTTTCCTACCTAAGCTGAGAGCCTTGAGAGGTTATATCAGCGTATCCTTAACTAGTAGGTGAGCTCACGGGGCTTAAACCTGATGACGTTGCTAACACGAACCCTAGCAAGAGCCGTGCTTCGCAGAATCTACCACTGGATCGGAAACGCGACCCACTGAAAAGATCCGGCGAGAAACTCAGTGGGCTGTGTCTGAGAGTGAATTTACTCGTCGAGCCCTTCGTCGCAAGCGACAGGTTCGACGAGGACGATGACCGGTGCTTGAGGTACCTAAAAGCACCGTTAGTGGATCGGGAGGATCCGAAATGACGTGTTTGGGGTGACGTCGACTGCTTTCCATTCTGTCCGCAGGATCGGGAATGTAGTTACCGGCGGCCACGATGAGAGGGTTCTCGTGTCGTGCCGCTTTATCGAAATGGATTGCTGTGTATAAGTGTGAATATGTAGTGTAGTTTTCGTGTTCATCGATACTGAAACTGGACCTTGTGATGGGCACAAGTGGTCACCAGTGTGGCCATCAAAAAATAAATAAAGACATCTTTTCGACTTTTTCAAGATCGTAAATACCGGTCATATTACCATATCAAACAAGTGCCGTTTCGGTAGCGGCAGCGGCTTGGCTCTGCGCCTGGCATTGCTGAAGTCCATGGGCGACGGTAACCACTCACCATCAGGTGGGCCGTATGCTCGTCTGCCTACAAGGGCAATAAAAAAAATCAATATCCTATTTTTTATTGAAGTGAAACTTCCTTATCGGCGTTGGAAAAAAATTTACCGTCACATTTTTCGGTTACGCGTCACATTTTTCCGTTACGCGCCATCTTTTTTGTATTCATGTCTATGATAATAAAATCCTTTTGTTTAAACTTTATCTAATTTAACTTTTTTGTATTCATGTCTATGATAATAAAATCCTTTTGTTTAAACTTTATCTAATTTAACTTTATTTAACCAATTTCTAGAAAGTTGCATGTAGATCATTTTTCGAAAAATAAGGCCATAAAGAAGTTTCACTTCTTACGTGTGTACACTAGTACACGCACACATTTTTTTTTTTTATTGCTTAGATGGGTGAACGAACTCACATCCCACCTGATGTTAAGTGGTTATTGAAGCCTATAGACATCTACAACGTAAATGCGCCACCCACCTTGAGATATAAGTTCTAAGGTCTCAATATGGTTACAACGGCTGCCCCACCCTTCAAACCGAAACCCATTACTGCTTCACGGCAGAAATAGGCAGGGTAGTGGTACCTACCCGTGCGGATTCACAAGAGATCCTACCACCAGTATCAAGATATCGATCTAAAAACGGATATTGCTATCTATTGATAGCTATTCCGGTTGCTACTAAGACCAGGAACTGGTGCTTCAAGATGGATAGTCATTCTGTGATGTCTAAAAGCGACAGTATGTGTAATTGCTAAATAACAAATGATGAAGCTGTAGCTCTATGTCATACCTCAACGGAGAGTTTGTTTCCTTGATAGCAGTAGATGAAAACTTGAAAGATCATGTTCATTAGGTAAGTACCCATAGAAAGCAGCCGAACCAGGTTTCCTGTTTGCTGTGAATTTATAGTAATCTGAATATTTTTATGTATGATAAATTTTTAGCAATAAAAAAAAAAATTTTTTGTTTATTTAATAGAACCCAGAAACATGCGAGTTTTTTAACGTTCTCGATAGCGTAAAAGTTAACTCAAATTTGTATGAAGTTGGTACGTCTGCCGTTAGGGGCGCTGTCGCGAACGTTAAAAGACTCGCACTAAGCACTCTGAAGACAAATGAGTCGACTATTATCAAAGCCGGCAATGTGACTTTTGGACAATTATTGGTAAATCAGAAAAACGAATGACTTTGTATTCCATTGGCAGTCACAAAACTCTTCTGAACGACATCTTAGATAAATAACAGGTTAAGTATTAACCTTTATTTAATGCAGGTTTTGAACCGTATTCTTTGAAGGAGACGATTATATTCAAATCAATCTGTATCGCCATATCAATAACATTTTTTTGTCCAAATACACAGATTGCCACCTTTGATAATAGACGNACAGGTTAAGTATTAACCTTTATTTAATGCAGGTTTTGAACCGTATTCTTTGAAGGAGACGATTATATTCAAATCAATCTGTATCGCCATATCAATAACATTTTTTTGTCCAAATACACAGATTGCCACCTTTGATAATAGACGACTCAAATGCACCCCAACTTCCAAAATGCGGCCGCGGTGTGTATCAATGAACCACAGCATAACAGCATCATTAAATACGTAAACTTTCCCTTTTATGCTCATCTTACCCATAAGCCCAAGAAACAGGTGCTTCCAAAAAATAAGTGATTCCGAAGTTAGCGATCACTACTTACTGAGACCAATTGGAAGGCAGTCACGCAAATGATGATTAGCGATACTGTAAATTGCGCAAAGGTTGGCTTCGAAAAGCACGCTTGTAGTTCGGTAACCGCCGCCAAAACGGTCTGATGCTCCAAAACACATGCTTTTAGACGTAAATTGAGTATATTTTCTTGTGCTGGACTGAGTTGACTCTAAACAATTGTAAATAGACATGCTTTAACAAAAACCGACTTCAATTAGAAAAAAAAAAGATATTCCAAAACAAATTAATATACACAAAAAAACAATAATCATCGAAATCGATTGGCGTGATATTGAGTTATTCATCTATTTGTCGCGCACGTACTTAATGCAAATTTAAGACTTATATGGTTCTAAGGTCTCAGTACAGTTACAACGGCTGCCCCACCCTTCTAACCGAAACGCATAACTGCTTCACGGCAGAAATAGGCAGGGTGGTGGTACCTACCCGTGTGGACTTGCAAGACATCCTACCACCAGTAGAATCAAATAGTTTACAAATGTTCAAAAATTACATCATGACGAAGATATATGTACATTGTGAATCCCGGAATAAATATGAATTGCATATTTACTCATGGTACAGATTTTTTTTTTTTTTGTCAGGGGGAAATCGCCGGACTTCCCCCCTTCACTGGGGATGGAGGGCGGGGCATGTCGGAGTCGAACCGACTAAAACCCCCTGTCGCTCAACAACCAGCATCTAAACCTCGCATGAGACAGAGCTCATGAAAAGGCAAAAGGGGGAAAGTGAAGCGTTTAGTGCGGAGCACATCTCTCCCATCACCCTCCCCCTCGGGACGCCGGACTGGCGGTCGTCGGCGCCATGACCACCAGTCCTCTCGGTCGGCATGGTACAGTGTATTGTGAGCGGACGTCTCACTAACGCCTTGCCTATCTCTACGCTGATAGCTTTGAAAGGCTATGTCAGCGTAACCTAACAAGTAGGTGAGCTCACACGGGTCTCAAGCTTGACCACGTTGCTAACAATAACCCTAGCAAGCTCTGTTATTTCGTTATTACTATACAATGGAAATTTGGACCTCATGTCTCACGGTTAGCTGCAGCATTCACGTTGTTATGTGTACAAGAATCGGCAACTACTTACAACCAGATGCAAGTATGCATTAAAAATTTATAATTGCATTATTGTTCTTCATGATTCTATTTGAAAATGTAACTTTGTTTTACGTATATAATATATATACGTTCCAAGTCAGGTCTTAATATTTTCTATTAAGTAATATTTGGATTAGCTTGTAAGATTCATTTAAATATTTTGGGCAAAATGTTTTTTTTATTCTAGTAGGTCTTTACAGTCGGTTTTTAATTGTCGCCTCTACCGATATGGAATGCAATTTCAACATTATAAACACTGGACAGTAAATATTGAAAACAGTGCCATCTAGAGCATTTTCAACAAACTACCACCTTCAAAATGCTACGAATGTATTCGTTTGCTACAGCGTAGTCCTTGTTCTACGAAAATTATTCAATGTTTCCAGTAATTGAAAGAATTTCCCAACAATTCGCTTAATTAAAATATTATTCAAGAGATGGCCGAATGGCGTATTATGTGACGCGCTCATAATCATGGTTTATATCCCATTCCTGTTTAAAACGTTCGTCACGCGTCCCGATTTAAAGCATGATTATTGGCCTATCGATGCTAGTAACCTTTTATATATTTATTGCCTAGATGGGTTGACGATTTCACAGCCCACCTGATGTTAAGTGGTTACCGGAGCCCAACGTTAATGCTGCCACCCCCCTTGAGATATAAATTCTAAGGTCTATATATAGTTACAACGGCTGCCCCACCCTTCAAACCGATACCCATTACTGCTTCACGGCAGAAATAGGCAGGGTGGTGGTAACTACCCGTGTAGAATCAAAGAGGTCCTACCACCAGTAATTACGCAGTAATTACGCAATAGCCTCGAGGGGTTATCCCAGCGTCACAGGATGTGTAGTCTGAGGACTGAAAGAAAATCAAATTTCGATACTCACTTCTAAGTGACCATCTAGGAAGGCAACTAAGGCAAGAAGCATTTAATCATGTATCATTGGGTATTCAATAAAACTAAAAGTTCTGCTGTCAATAGGCTCCTGTATCCTCTAAAGTTCAGGAAGACATTGAACTTCGTGTTCCTATCTAAGCTTTAAAGCATTTTCCATTGAACGTTCACTTACATTACCCGATTCTCTCATAATCGAATTCATTTCATCTATAAGAAATGTAGAATATATAATTTCTGTCGTTTTGTTTATAACGGTTTTAGCGGTAGGCAGCGGCTTGGCTCTGCCCCTGACATTGATGAAGTCCATGGGCGACGGTAACCACTCACCATCAGGTGGGCCGTATGTTCGTCTGCCTACAAGGGCAATAAAAAAAAAAAGAATTTTGAAAAAAAATTACCATTGCCACAATTAAAATTGATATATAGCACTAGAGCTCTCGTCCATAAATTATATATAAACATTGACATGGATTGATTGATAAACAAATGAAAAAATAATACTTAAATGTGTTTACGTATTTACAAATAGGTTTTTCTTTATTGCCCTTGTAGGCAGACGAGCATACGGCCCACCACGGTGGGTGGTAATCATCGCCCATGGACTCTAGCAGGGGCAGAGCGAAGCCGCTGCCTACCATTAAGTACTCAAGATATCTTTCATACGTATGTGAATAATCAAAACCTGATAATCAATCTTCAAGTCTTGGCCTAGCGAAGCCAGTGCCAGTCCCACGAGACGCAGCCTGCAGCGGCACTGGGCTATCAGACTGCTGACCAGAGAATCCTTGGCAACGTTGATGTAAGCAGCTATCAATAGCGCTGCTACTTGATGGACGTATGTCAACTCGTATGCTGGACTCTTGGAGGTGTCGTAAGGGTACCTGAGAAGCAGGGGTTAGTGACGTTGATAAAGACGCTAACTCAGGGCACACCCAGTGCAAATAATCATCGACAGCACTAAGTGTATATGGACGCAAACCCCACTATTGACAATAATTAACATGATTTATAGTTTAGTTTATTCTTTGTTATTATTTATTTCTGCCGTGAAGCAGTAATGCGTTTCGGTTTGAAGGGTGGGACAGCCGTTGTATACTATACTTGAGACCTTAGAACTCATATCTCAAGATGGGTGACGCATTCACGTCGTAGATGTCTATGGGCTCCAGTAACCACCAAACAGCAATTATTGTTTGTAGCAAAAAAAAATATTAACTTTTTCCTGCCCCAAATCGTGCATAAGCTGGACAGATTTCTTCCCCCTCGCAGTAGCTGCAAACAGGACTATTGCGGAGCCTGGTCTGGGTATGATCCCTTGCAACTTACAGTATCCTTTTGGGATCCTTGTCAGAATATAAAGCGTAGACACTATTGATTTGTAGAAGGTCTTTGTTACTAACCATGCCCTCAAAGGCAGTTGGTGCTTCTCAGCGCTAGTCGCCCATCCAACAGTAGTCACAAAAGTCAATAGAAAGTACAGACAAAGCTGTATACTGGTTTCAACGTTGCAACTGTTATCAACAAAAAACAAAAATAAGAACAAAACAATATTAGTAGCTTATTTAAATGTGTTTTTGGAATGAAGTTCCTTACGGGACGATGCGGAGGGGCACCCTAACCGTGAAAAAACGTCCGTAACGTAAGATTTATATTAGTAATGCACTCAGTGTAGGCAGCGGCTTGGCTCTGCCTCTGGCATTGCTGAAGTCCATGGGCGACGGTAACCACCCACCATCAGGTGGGCCGTATGCTTGTCTACCTAAAAGGGCAATAAAAAAAATAAAAAAAACTTAACTTTGTAATAACGTACAAATTAGTAATGCACACAGTGTACGACCTAACTTTGTAATAACGTACAAATTAGTAATGCACACAGTGTACGACCTAACTTTGTAATAACGTACAAAAAATAACATATTTTTTATCATTCATTGACCACGATCTCAGAGCGTTCGTTTGCACAATACACTAACTCTTATGCAAACAACCGTGAATTAAGTGTACCAGAATAAGTTCGCACGTTACCGAATGACCGTGGGTTGTTGCGAAACCTCCAGTTTCATTTTCTTAATACCTCGAATAGAACTTAAAACTAATATTTTTTTAATAATAAACTTCGTTCCTATCCGGTGTCCCACGACACCACATATCTTTTTTTTTATTGCCAAGATGGTGCACGAGACATGCCGCCACCAGCCTTGAGATGTGAGTACAAGTCTCAGTTTTATCAATACAACGGCTGCCCCAACCTTCAAACCGAAACGCATTACTGCTTCACGGCAAAAATAGGGTGATGATAGGGTAAGGATAAATAATAGTGTGATGGTACCTAGCCGTGCAAACTCACAAAATGTTCCACCACCAGTAATAACGCAAATATGATTTTGCGGGTTTCATTTTTATTAAACAATGCTATTCTTTCACCGTAGAAGTCATTCGTGAATATTTGTTAAGTACGTATTTTATCAGAATGTTAGTACCTATAGGTACAGAAGAGTGGCAAGAGAGACGATCCAAGTCTTTTTATTCTTTATTTTGCTATAAATAATAAATAATACTGAAACCCTGACCACTTCGAGTTGCTGTTATTAATTATCTGGAGTTGCTGCTGTTGCATCTGCTGTTATTAAATATCCTCCTTCCTATCCTTATCCAACAATAAGTTCCCTACACATTTTCCAATACTATTTTAAGTGCAGGCGTGCTTTGAGCCCACACTGAGTAATATCGCCGTCTTGCCTTTATTCCTCCTACCATCGCTGAGATCTTTTCCAATCTTCTTTAATATATATATTTCTTCTGTGCGTGTGTTTGTCACTGAACTCGTCCTAAGCAGCTGGACCGATTTAAATGAAATTTTCTGTGTACCTTCAGGTGGATTCGAGAATGGTTTAGATTTACAAATCAGCCCGACAATTGGCGCTGCAGTCAGTATCTAAGTTATTTATCTTTCCTAGAAATAATTTATATGGCAAAACAACGTTTTCCGGGTCAGCTAGTTCATATACAAACCTTTTAACAATCCTTCTAGCCTCCTCGCTCTGTACTCCCATCAGAACTGCATTGGCTTGTTGAATTACCCTCTGTATCCTATTCTTCCTGATAACAATGTTAATGACCTTGGTGGCATGTGCAAAGTTTGTGAATAAGAGGAAAGCGGTGCCCGTCATCAGCGGCAAGTCTCCCCATATCTTTATCATGTCCACAACTTGAATGAGGATGTAGATTCCTATTGTTAGATATTAATTTATAAAATGCCCTCTGTGTTAGGGTATTTACATTGGATGATGATGATTACACTGGTTATCTCAATGAGCACTGAGAGTCCATGGGTTCCTGTAGTCACTGAACATGGACGGTGTACTCGTCTGTACTTATGGTATCAAATCTCATAAGTACGCACAAGTGGTACCACCCTGCCTATAGCTACCACGAAGCAATCATTCGTTTCGGTTTGTACCTTAGACTTTATACCACAATGCGGGTGGCGGCAGCCACATTTTAATGTCTATGAGCTCCTTTTTTTTGCCTATCTAGCTGAGAGCCTTGAGAGGCTATTTCAGCGTAACCTTAACTAGTAGATGAGCTCACGGGGCTCAAACCTGACGACGTTGCTAACACGAACCCTAGCAAGAGCCGTGCTTCGCAGAATCTACCACCGGATCGGAAACGCGACCCACTGAGAAGATCCGGCGAGAAACTCAGTGGGCTGTGTCTGGGAGTATGAGCTCCGATGACCACTTAATACCAGGTGAGCCGTGATCTCCGACGTGATCACCACTCCGTGCAAGAAGTAAATCAAAACGTTTTTTTCTTAAAATTACATCTGCGGCTCCTTTTCATCCAGTACTTCTTTCGATTCAGTAATTAATAAAAATCACACTAACCAAGTAAAAACATGAAAGAGACAAAACTGTAACAGTTGTACAAAAGTCTCTTGTTCCCAGCCAAGCCATCAGGAGACCAGAACCCCAAACATCTGAGCAATGTCAGTGATAAGCTGATGGTAAAATTGGCATTTCTAATCCAGAGCTTCATTCTGCTTCAGGTTTTGGAGACAATATGACTGTGTCGAACTCGACGAAAATTGTACAGAAATGACATTCGAATCAAAGCAACGGTTTGTCCTAATAAACGGTATTTGTGAGGTGATCAACATTTTGATTTAGTATGCTATTGCTATAGTTGGTTTTACTGATGGTAGGACCTCTTGTGATTCCGCGCGGGTAAGTACCACCACCTGCCTCTTTCTACCGTGAAGCAGTAATGCATTTCGGCTTGAAGGGCAGGGCAGCCGTTGTAACTATACTTGAGACCTTAGAACTGATATCTCAAGGTGGGTGGCGCATCTACGTCGTACATGTCTATGGGCCCCAGTAATCACTTAACACCAGTTGGGCTCTGAGCTCGTCCACCAATCTAAGCAATAAAAAAAAAAGTTGGACCAACGAGTACAAAACTTACCAACCTTGAGGTCTAAGATTTAAGGTCTAAGTCTGTCCTACTTTGGAAAGAGGATGTCGTGATGCTTGTTTTTTAGGATGAAAAGATTTCTGGTTACCCGCGGACCTTTCTAGTTTCACCAGAACAGATGGGTGATCACGGGCTCAGCCAGGAGAGGTGGGATTTGCTAACAACTGCTCGAATGCTCCGAAAGAGACCCGCCAGCTCGAGGACAGCTGCTTCGCGAATACATCTACTGCCAGATCTAAGTCGCAAGCCACTGAGAAGATCTGGTGAGAAACTCAACGGGCTAGGTTTCCAGTCGAACTTTTTGACGATTTCGACGAGTACGGTCCCCAGGGTTCCTATACCTGCTCCTAATGCAGGCGTTTAATAGTTGTGTTAAATGATCGGGTGGATCCATAAGAACGTGTTTCGCTTTTTTTTATTGCTTTGATGAGTGGATGATCTCACACAGCCCACCTGGTTTTAAGTCATTACTGGAGCCCATAGATATCCCCAACGTAAATGCGCCACTCACCTTGAGATATAAGTTCTAAGGTCTCAAGTATAGTTACAACGGCTGCCCCGCCCTTCAAACCGAAACGCATTACTGCTTCACGGCAGAAATAGGCAGGGTTACCTACCCGTGTGGACTCACAAGAGGTCGTACCACCAGTAAAAACCGATGACGAGGGCGTTTACGGTTACTGTCTCCTATATGAGCGGGGGTCGGAGAACATTCGGCGACGGCCACGATGAGGCAATCTTCATATCACACCCCCTTATAGAAGTAGCGTCGTGCTGAGCAGCCCCTGGAACAAAATAACGGTTTTACCCCCTGGGACCGGAACGCTTAAAAAATTTTAGACAGAAAGGCTTCTTGTCTCGGTATGTACATAAACATCAAAGTATATATTATTACTATACATTTGACCATAGTTACAGTGAAGTATGGCCGGGTTGAAATGAACAAAATCTCTGACCTATGCGCGACATATTTCGGTTTCAAAGTTCACACTCGCAAAGGTTGACAATACCTGAAACAGATTCTGTTCATTAAAATTTTGAACCGGCGGCGTGCGGGTAAACACAATTATGTTATTATCGTAAACATAACCTACGGATACAGAACGTTTAATTATCGACTGAATTTTCAGTGGTTTCAAATTACACGTTCCGTCTCGCGAGTATTACGGGTAATTAGTAACATCTTGTGGTGTATCCATTGTACTGTTACAGTCAGAAGACGTCTAATTTATTCGAATAGTAAAACTAATTTATTCGGTAGGCAGCGGCTTGGCTCTGCCCCTGGCATTGCTGAAGTCCATGGGCGACGGTAACCACTCACCATCAGGTGGGCCGTATGCTCGTCTGCCTACAAGGGCAATAAAAAAAAACATTTTTTTTGTTGCTTAGTTGGCTGGACGAGTTCACAGCCCACCCGGTGTTAAGTAGTTACTGGAGCCCATAGACATCTACAATGTCGCCACCCACCTTGAGACATAAATTCTAAGGTCTCAAGTACAACGGCTGCCCCACCCTTCAAACCGAAACGGATTACTGCTTCACGGCAGAAATAAGCCTTTAAGATCCAGAGTCCACACGTATTGGACATATAGTTTAGTCTTACATTAGAATTGCAAAGGGTTAAAGTAAACAAAAAATAACAAACACTTTTACTATGGAATAGTTTACATGATGCCCGGTTACTTGGTTACCTCCCACAGCGTATTTCTAGAGATTATTCTTGCACTGTAACGAAGTTTTTAAGGTGCTTCTTGAGCGCTACGACACGTCCCGCTTGAAACATGGTTTTAAAGGTGTCCAATGCAATAGAGTGTCTCAATCCCATAGACACAGCCCACTGAGTTTCTCGCCGGATCTTCTCAATGGGTCGCGTTTCCGATCCGGTGGTAGATTCTGCGAAGCACTGCTCTTGCTAGGGCCAGTGTTAGCAACACTCCCAGATTGAGCCCCGTGAGCTCACCTACACGTCAAGGAGAAGCTGAAATAGTCTGTCAAGGCTACCAGCAAAGGTTAGGGAAAAAAAGAGCGTCTCGACGTTGACCACTCTCCGTCGGGAGGGCTGTATGGCGTACCGGCTTTCGAACACGAATAAAAAAATCACCAAATGCCATCATCTACAGGGTGTACTGTTAGAGATCTTTACAAGTTTCAATGACACAACTAGGACGACGATAAATCTTAGTTGGGGAAACGATGGTGTTGGATTTATATTACTACTTATCCAATCCAAATCAGTAATTGATATATTTTCAGTAATGTTATCATCGATAAATGAATGAATGTTATGATCGATGAATGAAAAATGAACCAAGCCACGAGCGCCCAGGTCAGGAGGCCAGCCTAACAGCCAAGCCAAATCTTACCATAGAGACTCTTTTGAAATTTAACTTGACGAATAAGGGTGTTATCAAGCATATGCATTATATTTGGATCAGAGAATTACCGATCATAGTGTGTCCGTCATTTCTCGCTTTTATTACGTTCTCCGCCTCACATCCCAGCAGGCCTTACTCTAAGTGGTAAAACTGTTTGTAAGCCAGCATAAGTGGGTACCACCATCCGGGCTAATCATTCCACGAGGCCTCCATACGTTGCAGACTGAAAGTTAAGGCTGCCGTTGTAAAATATAATTAAGTTTTAGAATTTTAAAGAGACTTAAGGAAGTTTGTTCGGCTCAGATTACCATTTAACAGCAGGTGAACTATGACCTGTAATGTATATTAATGTGGCGGACACCCATCATACAAAAAAAAGATATTTGACAGATGCCTGAATCTAGCTTACGACATTTTCAAGATAAGCTTGCATATATACAAGTTCCGAACAACAACATTCGGACTGTCGGTCTACCGAGCAATATCACCCGCTCGGTGGAAGATCTTCCTTTCGTCGTAATCCCCACATGTACTATTATAGAACTACACTTCCAAATCCGGAAAACACTATAACGTTTTGTTTAATCATAAACAGTAACATAATCAATGGAAGATATTTTCTTATTGAATAAGTAAATATCTTACTTATTGATTCATATTGATTTAAGTCGGCTATGCATGTTTTTTCTCAATTCATGTTCAAATTTAACTCACTTTGAACACGCTAATATTAGCTTAGTATATATGTTTGCATGTAATGTAATGACAAACAATCTATACTAATATTATAAAGCTGAAGAGTTTGTTTGTTTGAACGCGCTAATCTCAGGAACTATTGGTCCGATTTGAAAAATTATTTCAGTGTTAGATAAGTCATTTATTGAGGAAGGCTATATAACATCACGGTAAGACCGACACAAGTGGAGCACCAATAAAGAATGTTTCAAAATAGGGGCTTAAATAACTCCTTAACATTCTATAATTTAAAAATATTTTCACTTCCTACATAAATGAAGAGGCGGGTAAAATTTAGCGTTATGCCAGAGTAACTATTCCACGCGGACGGAGTCGCGGTTAAAAGCTAGTAATTTTATAACTTCTCTCTAATATCCTGACCGTTATAAACAGAATAAAAAATAATAATTGTAAAATCGATTTGGTATTGAAAGTTTTCTTTTTTCTAATATTCTAACTTAATTTACAATTACCACTGAATAATCTAAACATAAAAACATACAATGCAAATAATCTTAATGCGTTACTGTATTGAAATGAATATACGTTAATTCTACAAGATACAGAAGAGTAATGTACTGGTAAGGATAAAGCCCGCATTTTACTGGGTGGGCAGCGGTTTATCTGATGGCACGTCATATTAACGTGACCTTGTGAATACATTTCGGTTATAACAGAATTCAATTTAAATGTATTCATTTTATCTTCGCAATACTCCGTACAGGAGAGGTAAGACGGGGACTCTTGAGAGCTCGCAATTTATTTAATTGAAGTTCTTGGTAATCACTGTTAGTAATATGTTCTATTATTTATGGTTGTTTATCAATGACTGTTTGGTTAAAGTCACTTATCTATAAATGACACATGTTCAATACCCTGGTATTCATCAAACTCGACAAAGAGTTCGATGTGGAACCAGCATCAGCATCAGCCCTAAGTATCAGCCCGTGAGCTTCTCGCCGAATCTTCTCAGCGGGTCGCGATTCCGATTCGGTAGTAGATTCATTCGTGAAGCAGCTACTCTTGAGTTGTTAGGTTTCCTTTGGAGGCGCTCAGGTAGCTTTTAGCAAATCCCACCCTTCTTGGTTGAACCCTTGCTTGCCCGGGTAAAACTGGAAAGGCCTCCGGGTCACCAGTAATCTCTCAAACATAAAAAAAAACATGTTTAATTACGGTAGTTTTCGTTTTAATTTCAATTTTGATTATATTTACAGCATAAAATTCCAGTAGCTGTTATTTGCATGCAATTCGATCGAAATTGGACTTCGTTCTAATGTTTCCAAGTAGACGATATTTTTATTATTATTATACTCTAGTAATAAACTAATGGAATTTTGTTTTTATTTTTGACTAGCTGACCCGGCAGACTTCGTAGTGCCTCAATCGATAAATAAAAGACCTAAACTTTTGTATAAAATAAACTTAAATAAAAAAAACAAAAATAAAATTGTTTGTTTATATATAATTCCGAGCATTTTCATATTTATTCACCTTTTAA